TTTTAAACTCTGATTTTGAATGTAAAGACTTCATTCGGATCGGCTTAAGCTTGCAATTATTCGCAAGGGGCGGGCTTTCGATGACCGCAATGCTGACCGGGCCTGTGCGGCATTTATCTTACGAACATGCCACACACCCGCCGACAATCGTGCGATTCTCGGAAGGTTTTCGACATGTTCGTAAGATAAAAGTCGTGCGACCGTACAGTAGAAACGGTCATACTCTTCCACACACCTTGCGATAATCGTAAAATTGCGAGATTTCCCACGATTATCGTACGATTATCGTACGATTATCGCAAGGTGTGCGGGCACCTTTAGGCCTGGTTCACACCTGTACGTTTTGTAGCGCGTTCAATGCTCTACGAACGCTCTACAAAACGCTCAAACATGAAAATCCCATTGTTTTCTATGGGTATGGTTCACACCTTGCCGTATTTCAGCCCGTCTGAACGCGCTACAAAACGGCCTACGCCTGAAAAGGTACATGAGCTTTTTTGCGGCGTTTTTGTCGCGCGTTTCCATTGGGATACAGCCAAGTAGCCCTCGGAAACGCGCGTTTGTCGTGCGTTTTTTACCGTGAATCGCAGTAAAAACACGCGTCGCGACAAACGCGCATATTCGATATGCTTAGGTGTGAACAGAGCCTCAGGCTCCATTCGGATCCTAGACGCACCAGACTGTTATTTTTCCTAAATGCAGGTAAACTGACTGCAGCTGAACACACCTAATTGCAACATGTAAATGAACCCATTAAGAAATCATTACATTCATATATAAGTGTCTAGAAAACCTTCTTTCTTCAAAGTTTACACAATGAGCACAAGAAACTATAACAACAAATACAATCAAAAGATTCTGGTAGTAAGTTGAAGCAGTAGTTACAGCTCTACTATGCCAAATGACAAGAAACATATCTGCCCAGAAACACTGTTGAACAACAAATGAACCAATATAGAAGAAAAGTATCCAATCAGATGTGTGTAATAGCCGTGTGAATGAAGCCACACTGTTAATCATAAGTATAAAAGTACATGTATATATTCACAATTACAGTGATTGTATACCAAACATCTGAGTACAGATACTCTATGTGTCTAAAGGTGGCCATACACTCTACAACCATCGCAAGACTTTAGTCTTGCGATGGTTGTACAGGAATTAAAAAAACGTACGATCTGCCTATCTTGGACAGGCAGATCGCACTCTCGATCATCGCAAGCCCGCCCCCCTGAGGGGCGGGCTTCCGATGACCGCAATGCTGAACGGGCAGTGTGCGCGTGCGCACACCGGCCCGCTCGGCATTTGTCTTCCGAGCACCGTTCTAACCAGCCGAGAATCGTACGATTCCCGGCTGGTTTTCGAACATGCTGGTTCGACAGAAGACGTGCGACCGTACAGTAGAAACGGTCGCACGTCTCCGTTCACACTGCTCGATTATCATACGAAAAACCGATCGCATACGATTATCGTACGATAATCGTGCAGTGTATGGGCACCTTTAGAAACAAACATGTGGATCTGTGACAGTCTCTTGTGTGCTTTTGTTACATACACTGTGAAAACACAAAGGTTCACATACTGTACATACTCAGTGAGATAGTTATCATTTTAAAAGTGTATTGAACGCAAAAAAAAACCTCAATGATAAATATTTATAGTAAGTATAAAAGTATTTCTTTACATCTTTGGCTAAGCAACTACAGTCATCATGTTTCTAAACAACTCCAACTCTCTTAGCTCAGCTTCCCTAAACATCCTGTCCAGTACAAGATCACAAGAGACAGCAAAGTCTCCAGCAACTGGTCATCTACTAGCTTGGTGAAGGAAGGAGAAGCATGGGGCAGGGAGTGGTTTGCCTTGCTGGTCCTATGTGTGTGGGGAGGCTAACACAGCTTACTAGCACACACAACGATGGCTGCATAGGACCCTGCAAGGGAAAGGAGCCCCCCTAAAACAGGATATCAGGACCAGTGCTCAGGGGACCAGCTGATTCTGCAGGAAACTAAAACTTTATTTTGGAAAAACAGGGTCATCCATACAATAATAAAGCATTTCGAGACGGAAACTAAAACTTTTAAACATCAAGAAGCGGTATCCATTGTAAGTGATTTGAATGAGCTTACATTTTTTTGACTTTAATATCACTTGAAGACTGGGGAGGTCGTCCCAGAAAATACATTGTTGTTTTTTTAAGGAATATATAACTGCCATAGATGGTGTTTTGTTAATGTCCACCCAAATGTACATTTATTTATACAAGTTTATCCTAAAAGTGGGTAGTCTTGGAGGCAAGAGGGACAGGAGGAATTGCTTCTAAAGTCAGACAGGTGGAAGTTATGCTGTCAAATGTTGCTTTATAGATTATTTACCTGCGTCAAGGTATCACACTGGAAGAGTTCAGGGGTACGTAGAGCTTGCTTCCTAAAGAGCTTGCTATCTAATGTTCTATCCATAGTTCTACCTACTCTAAGGCTGGTTTGGTGACGTGGTGTTGGGTAACTTACTAGTTGTTTTTGATAGGAAACCCACACAAGTACGAGTAGAACATAGGACCTCCATGCA